AGGGGGGTGCGATGGGTGCTTGAGCACCTGCCCCTTTCCCCTTGATGCCCAAAGTGCCCTTTTGTCAAGGCAATTATTTTTTTTTGTAATTAAACGCCATTTTATGAAGGCTTGCCCAATCTAACTATTAGTAAAATGAATGAATAATAATTTATACAAATAAATGATCCACATGATGATGACCTTTCACCTGATGATCTCATCCAGGACGATCCCTCACGTTCAGACACCTTTAATTTAGCGCGCTACCAGGATGCCTTCATAACGTCCGCAGCTGCCGGTAAGTGGAGTTCTCAGTGGAGCTGTGTGCTTGTATACTTATATTATTAAATTATTATTATTTTACAAGAGCGGCGTGAAGAGAGCATGCACAGCTGTTTTTTTATATTGCTGTGTGTAGCCTGTGGAAGTAACGTTAGCTGCAGCAAGAGTTCTAACTATTAGTAAAATGAATGAATAATAATTTATACAAATAAATTATCCACATGATGATGACCTTTCACCTGATGATCTCATCCAGGACGATCCCTCACATTCAGACACCTTTAATTTAGCGCGCTACCAGGATGCCTTCATAACGTCCGCAGCTGCCGGTAAGTGGAGTTCTCAGTGGAGCTGTGTGCTTGTATACTTATATTATTAAATTATTATTATTTTACAAGAGTGGCGTGAAGAGAGCATGCACAGCTGTTGTTTATATTGCTGTTTGTAGCCTGTGGATGTAAGGTTAGCTGCAGCAAGGGGCTATAATATCTTTGTTCAATATTTTCCTAAAGACAATTTTATGATCGGTTTATAAAGGCTACTGAGCACCTTTTCCCCATTTTTATTACAGAATAAGGCAGGAAATATATTTAATAGTTTCTATAGGCTACTAAATAATATGTCAAGTACTGTATTATTCATGTAGTTTATTTATTACCTGGAGATAATTTGAAAAATACACATAAACGTATATTTTTGCAATCGTGTGTTTATTGTCTTCACGTTTTTTCTGCTTTTAATTCAGCTCAGCTACAGCAATAGCTGGATGCTTTTGTCCATATTAGGAATTTCCTGCACGTCATGAGTCATTCCTTCTATGAGTCTGTTTTGGACTTTCTGCACGAGAGCGCCCTCCGGCTTCGAGTAAACATACACTGCATGAGAGTGTTGAGCGCTCCAGATATTCACTTCTCCTCATTTTGGATACGAATAAAACGTCAGGTCATGCATAGACTATCGATACTGTCTCTTTGAGCGCCCTCCGGCTTCGAGTATGAATTAAACTTACACTGCATCCAGATATTCACTTCTCATTTTAGAAACGAATAAAACGTCAGGTCATATATACACTATAGATACTGTCTCTTTGAATTTAAATCTAGATTTAAATCTAGAAACCTCTACGTGAACACACCTACCCCGAATAAAGTGCAGGGGACGAATTTACATTTCATTAAAATTAAATATAAAAAATGCAGCTAACGTTCTACACACAGCAATATAAACAAATATGCCTGTTCCCTTTAGTGCTTGCTGTTTGATTGGGAAAAGTTTAAAGGGCCTCGAGGGGTCTTGTCTTTATATTATCTGACTAAAAACTATTACTTTGAACTTTAATTATTACAGTATTTATTTAAAAAAAAACGTAGAGTGCCTTAAAAATATTTATCACAACACTGATAAAACAGGCTTAGGCTATACTGATTTTCTCATCCTCCGATTTATACTTATCAATCCTGTTTTTATTATCATTATCATTCAAAAAATGAATAAATTCAGAACAGGATTAGAATAGGCTATAATTCTATTTTAAATAAGACAGAAATATTTTGTAATATTTTGTAAATTGCTGTTGTAAACAACAGTAGTGTTTACAACAGCAAAACCACCATACCCTGTAAACTCAATAATAATAATAATAATAATAATAATAATAGGCCTAATATAATTCCGTTTCTAATTCCAGAGTGATTAAGTGGTGCAAAGAAAAATTTATTTAACTTTAAAACTTAAAATGGTCTTTTCTTGTCTGCGTTTCTTTTTCAAAACTGGGTCACGGCATTTGCTGCTATCAATACAGAAGCATTCCTTTCGATACACGTCTCAGCAAGGAGCACAGCCCTATTAAAAGCCGTGCTCCATGTGCCCCTTTTATACTTTGAGCACCTGCCCCTCCAAAGGTCTCTGCACGGCCCTATGTGCTCCCTTAATACAGATTGCGTGTGATCAGGAAATCGAAAGTGAAAGTGAACAGCGCGGACGCTCATTCAAAAGAGATTTACATACTCCGCATAATGTGCTCCCTTAATACAGATTGCGTGTGATCAGGAAATCGAAAGTGAAAGTAAACAGCGCGGACGCTCATTCAAAAGAGATTTACATACTCCGCATACTGAGAGCGGCTCCTTGATGCGGCAAAATTATACACAATATTAGAATGTTTAAAGGAGTGAACACGACAATCGCGGGAGCGAAACGCATGTTGCGGGAGCAGAAATTCAGCGGGAGCTAGATTAAGACAACAGCCGAATCCCGGACATTTTGGGCGATTAAGAAATCCCGGCCGGACGCATTTTTTTAGGTCCAACAGGAGGACATATCCGGGGAAAAGAGGATGTATGGTCACTCTAGATCAGTGTTTCCCAACCGGGGTGCCGTGTAAAAAAATATATTTTTTAATGTTTTTAAATTGCTCAAATGTTAAAAAAAGCAGCTATTATATAATATCCATTTCTGATGTCGCCAATAATTACCTGAAAAACTACAAAGCAATTTATTTCATTTGTAGGCCTATCATTATTTTTTATTTGTGCTATCATTAGTAGTTTATTTATTTGCTCTTATTTTATTATTAACTGCTTAGCCTCCTTGTCATTTTTTATTCAATTCAAAGTTTTAAATCAGGGGGTCAATGTCGTAAAATGTGTTTGATGAACTGAAGGATATTCATTTTTTTTTTTTTTTCTTCAAGATAATAATTGGAAAATGGTTACAAAAAAAAGAACCTAACAATAGACTCATAATCTAGGGTGATAGATAGATAGATAGATAGATAGATAGATAGATAGATAGATTTCAAACGTGTTTATGTTTTGTCTCGCTTACCTGACCACTCCATACATCACTAGGATGTTTCCCAAGAGTCCCACCACGCAGATAACGGAGTACAGAGCAGTGATGGAAATGGCGATGATGATTCCCGCGGGGCTCTTTACCGGGGTAGGCTCGGTGTAGTTCCTCCCGTCGGGAACGAAGCCCATCACCTCGTCAGGGAAAGAAACATTAAACGGGTTAATGGAGTAGAGGTCGGACATGTCGGCACCGGGGATGACGGAGGGCTCCATCGCTTCCGTGTCGCTGCCCAAAGTTGCGCTTCACGGTTTGAACTCGATCTGAAAACGGGAAAATGTAGAAGTAGCTATAATATGAGCTCGGTTTGTGCAGGAATCGTAAGCGGTTAGTATAAACTCAAGTCCAGCCGGGGTGAGAGACCGTAGGAATTAAAGTTTCTCTCTGTCTACAGGTGATGAGTGCGCTCTGCTCTCTGAACGGATCTGATCCAAGCCTCAAACTTGCGCTTTCTTATGCGAGGGAGGTGAGTCGAGGGAGAGCTTCGCTACGTCAGCCTGCTTTATTCGGATTCCCGACATGTAGGCTAATGAAACTACCCATGGGATTTATGACCGAGAAGGCAGATATTTGTCAGCAGCCACAGAAAAAGCAGAGAACTTAAGGGTAAAAACACGTTTAGCCTCCGTGACACTCATTAATGTTATAGCAGTCAACAAAACAGTTGCATATGTGTCTCTTTATTTGACCTATGTCTGTAAATATGTAAGCATTACTAAGTAGTTTATGCTAGTATATGCTTTTTATTGCTCAGTGGTGCTCAGGAGACTTTGCAATTTTCACATCTTTCATTTTAGTATCAACAGTAGCCTATTTCATATGTTTGATTTATGATTTATAAGCTTAAAAAAAGAAGAAAAAAAAGTCCCCACAAGGTCAACGTTTACTCTTATTAAAGTCCATCAAACGCCTCATATAATTATTACACAAAATACACTGCCACAATGTAGGCTAGGGATGTTGTGGGTATTTTCAAGTGGGTTGCAATGCAGTTGCAGAGGTTTTCTGAGTGTGTGGTTGCTAGGATGTTCTGGATGATTGCTATTGCATTGCTATAGGTGGTTATTGGGGTGGGTGTTTACTGTATAGGAGCCAGTTTGACAAAGTCAAAAGAGTCGTTAAGTCTGGTTATGCTGTTCTGCTATGCTGGTCTTATATGGCTCAGATCCTCCTTCCCTGTAAGTGTTTTTTTCTTCTTCACCTTTTCATCCAAAAATATTTTAATAAAATGACTCCCTAACACTTAGATTGCCCATGTCTGAAAGGCTTTCTGACTGAAAAAGATCTGGATTTTAAGACCCCATAAAAGAAGATAAGCGAAAGCAAACAAATGAAGATTGTATCTCCTTGACTGTCTTAAGAATGAATGCAAAACCAGTACAAACAGGACACAAGTACAAAATCTAACTGCACCCCAGTATTCACTGTCAAGTAATGTTGTCATCCTTGATTTTTGCCTTTTATTCAAGACTGTGTTCTGACTGAGTCTTGAATTTAATTTCTCTGTTAACAACATTGTTACTATCTTAATCACTGCAGTCAGATGATAAATGTCATATCCTTTATCGTTATTGGCTTGAATGAGCAGTAACAGCATCACTGTCATTTCAACCATGACAGTGATTAGTTCAGCCAATCTGGAAGATTAGACTAACATTTCCACGTAATGTTCAGATTTATTTCTCCAGTCTGAGAGTCCATGTTGTAGCATTCTATATACATTGTATAAACCAGGTGTGCCTCACTAAAAAAAAAAATCTAATTACACTTCAAATAATTTTTTTTTCACATACATGGTTTCCATCATTTTAGGTAGTTGTTGCTGATCTATGTTCTAGTGTTTGTTTTTCTAACAAGTTTACATTTAGTTAGTTATGCAGCACCAGGTCACTGAAACTGCCAGGGTGAAGATTCTCAAAAAAACGTTGTTTTCATGTAGATAAGGAAACCGGAGTTTTTGGCTTGTGACGTCAGAGCATTCTCCGCCTACTGGGAACTTTTTCAGGCTTCTGATTGGCCAGCATGCCTTTACGGTTAGATTATATCGCCACCTGTTGGTTTGGCATGCTCTTGACAGTGCTTCATAGCAGTCTTTTGCGTTTTCATGTGGATGGAGATTTTTTTTAAGAAACGGAAGAAGGAAAAAACACTGTTTATAAAAATACCTGTGTGCATGTGGACATGGCCTCAGACTTCAAATTAATCACTACTGCACACACTCGGGCTCCAAATTAACAGGGACGGATTATGACACAGCGGTGCCCTGGGCACGGACCAATTAAAGGCCCCCTCAGTTGAAATTGCGTTCCTTTTTATTTGTAATTTTCCCAAACGTGTGAACTATATCATAAAATATCACTATTCTTAAATATAAGTAAATACAATTTGCACCTTTATAGATCATATTAGTTGATCTATAATGGGCTATGGGAAAAGTAGCCTAATATTAGTGTAATTTAACTTAGTGAGTTTAACTTGTACCAGATATGAGTGTCATATTTTTAATACATCTGACTTTGTATTTAACGTAAATTTAATACAAATTGCATTATCAAAGAACATTATCATTGACTTCAGTTCAAGAGTTCTGTAATGATCAGTCCACTGAAGGCGAGTTGAAGATGAACCCAAGTGCAGCCAGAATCCAAACAATAAACACAGACTTGACATGACTTGACTTGAACAGACTAGACTAGACTTGACTTGACTATGACTTAAACACTAACTGACAGCATGATAAATACATTCAATACACGACAAGGAACAAAGGCAACGACATGGCTACTTATAGCAAACAAAGAGGGTCACATGACATGAACAAACCAATGGGAAACAAGACACATGACCTGGACAACCAATCAGAACATGACACAATGAACAGAGGAACTAATAGCATGAATACAAGAGGGCAAGGGAAGCATGACACTAACAGCATGAAACAATTACAAAATAAAAGACATGAAAACATGAACATGACAAAACCCAAAATAGACCTTACAAGTTCTCAAATACCACCATTATAATCACTGAAGTTGTTTACACTGTGAAATGTATTTTTTTTTACTCACATTCGTACGCACATCTGCACCATGTTGTTTCTGATGAGAGAATTCACCGGAGAGCTGACTTCAGTCAGCGAGCGTGCACACTGAACAAAACATTTCAGCGATGACTCATCTGAACGCTTCTGATTGGCCATTTCGTTCATAAGCTCAACAGACCCGTCTGTGATTGGTTATAATGCACAGCGCACTGTCAAACTCGTCTGGCTTAGCGCCAGCCAAAACGCCAATGCAGATTTGAATTTGGCAGCTGATGTTGCGTCGCACTGAACTATCAAATCACACCGGTGTGATTGCATCAAATATTAAAAAAAATATTATTCAGATATTTTTGTCTTTTGGATTCAAAATCAACTTGGCTTGAAAATCTGAGGGGGCACAGTTGAAATTGTGTTCCAGGAGGAGCAGTATTTCGCCTGGCCACCCCTCTGGTCTAGTGCCCTGGGCACGTGCCTGGTAGGCCCGTGCGCTAATCCGTCCCTGCAATTGAATCACCATTGCACAGACCTGGACTCCAAAGTAATCACTTCTGCACAGACTCAGGCTCCAAATTAATCACTACTGTGCAGACTTGGATTCCAAATGAATCACTACTGCACAGACTCAGGTTCCAAATGAGTCACTACTGTGCAAACTCAGGCTCCAAATTAATCACTACTGTATAGACTTGAGCTCAAAACGAATCATTACTGTGCAGACTCATGCTCAAAATGAATCACTACTGTGTAGACTCAGGCTCAAAATTAATCACTACTGTGTAGACTCGGGCTCCAAATGAATCATTACTGCGCAGACAGTGTGTCATCGGAGCAAGATGACATCAGCCATTGCTTGGATATTTTGGCTTCATTTTTCTACAGTGGAAGGAAGTGGAGATGTGTCATCCACCATTTTATGTCTATTTGTATGTCTATCCAGCAGTCTATGGTTTAAACACACATATATATACACAAAAGGCTTTAGGCCACTAAAGTACAAGGGCTGTAACCACTATAAACATAGGAGGACCACCAAAGATGCATGCCTTAATATTCAGATTAGTTGTCGACAAATATCAGTTTTCAATGGATGATTCTTAGTCAGCAATATGTGGTTAGATCCTTATAAACTAATAGCTATTCATCATTAACTTTAAGCCTAACCATTATGAGGCACCCAAACAAATGTGACTGAAACTCATAATCTTTTCAGACCTTTCAAACGCCATCCAGTGGGGGTGATTCTTAATCCTTGGGTTGCTATGGTTACAGAGCAGAGTTCTGGGTAATAATGGCTGAATTAAAGTGTAATAGTGTTTCTTCCTTCGCCTCAAACTGTCAAATGAAAAGGACGCACACTGCTCTACTGCACTGGTTATGATAAATTCTTCTGTTAAGTGCAACAATTACTAAATTGTTTCAGAATCAAAAAGCTTCTTAAGTTACCGTGGCAACAAAAATGACTTTTGAGACTTAAATGAAAAAAAGGAAAAATTAATGAAAATCATTGTCAACAAATGAAAGAGATAACAGACTCAATAAGTGAACATAAGTTCACAATTATGCAGCGTTCTTCTGAGAGAAGCTTGTTTGTTAATGCTTGGATCCTCAGGTAGTGATTTAAACTAAGCCCTAAAACTATGAAACTTCAGCATGTGCTATACTGTGCATCAGTACATGAATAACACTTCAGATTGTGCATTTGGGTGAGGAGAGATGAGCTATTTTAGAAGCATTTCGTTATAAATTGGTAGAAAACAAATCCTTACACAGAAGCAGGGACTTCAGACATGCAGAATATCATGATGAATTGGGGCTGGATTTCCTTGACTTGAACCATTAAGCAACCATCCAGAAAACCCCTAGCAACCACTCACACCTTAGCAACATACAGTAGCAATGCTTTATGAGCACCTCTCACATTTCACATATTCTTTTGCTAATCTAAAAATCCAGTCTTATTTTTATAGATCTTGTATATCTATGTATTGACTGCAAAGTGCCTGCAGTCTCTGTCCTGAATCAAGGTTGTCTCTAATGTTGCAGGCTTATTTTGAATTATAATGCACTTTGGTTTGTTTTTACCCACAAAGCAATGGTCTCGGCAACGAGCTTTGGTCTTAAGATTTCTCAGAATTAATCAATAAATGTATTCTGGAGAGCATTATATGTGAGTGCTAATGACTACAAACTAAGACGAGATAAATAAACCCACAATAAGATTTGCTTTTAAATGGCACTTAGTTGATGTTGGCCATTTACAGAGTATTTCATGCTTAAAATGCATGCATACAAACAGGCACTTAATTGTCAGACTTTCTCTGAGCACTACAGATAATCTTTCTTTCAGA